TGATCATCATACAGAAGAACAAGCTGACATGATCAAAAAGAGCATATGTAGTTTTAGGAAGAAACCTTTGTTTCTTACAGTTTGCACTGTAAAGTAAATGGTAATGCCAAAAAGAGAATATTTCTTGCATGACATTTGCAGATATGTTCTTTGGAAGACTGTAAAATGTGTCTATTGATTGTAATCTAGAAATAGTTCAAGTAGGACTTACTTAAAAACACAACTCCTGAAATGAACATGACCATTACTGGATGCAGAGCTGATAGCAGTGTATTTCACCTCTGAGATTTATTTCTCTGAAAAGGAGGACTTCTTATCAAGTTGACTTAATGAGTCTAGTCTTGCTTACTCAACTCACTGTGTGTGGACTGGATGCTATGAGACTTGTGCAACAGTAGGATTGCCACTCAAACATATGGAGACTAGAGAAATCTGTTCCTAATATTTAGCTAGACTGCCTGACAAGTCTGAAGTTTTAGTTTTCCTAGAGGGCTCATGCTTGATGGGTACTTGCTTCAGCTGATTTTGCTACTTTATGATAAATATCTTCAGACTTTTATTGTGACAGTTCACTTCTCCTGTTCTTTTTCTTAGATTCTGACATTGTCTTGCCTTCTGATAGAGTGTTTCCCAACACAGCTTACACTGAGTCTGTTAGAATGATGAGCAGCCTGTTTCTAGTCCACTGTCAGACACACTGTGTGTTCCATATCAAAGAAAAAAAAATTAGTAGCCCTGCTGATGTGAGATACAAGCATTTAAAACTTAGTACTCTAGGAGGAAACTAGCTGATGCATTGTGTATTGAAGGAACGCTTACTCCTTTCTTTTTCCTTCAGATTTCTTAATTTGAGGCTTGCTAGACTTCAGGTTACACTGTCAACTAGGTTAATCACGTGAAATCATTTGTAAATCAAGATAAAATTTATTTCCATGAGACCTCTAGAGAAGAAATCTCCTTCTGCTTAGATTGCTAGAAGACTTTGTCTGCTCATACTCGAAATAGCCTTCATATATGAATCACTTTTGCTGAGATTTCTAACTTGGACAGTGTTTGCAGGGCTGAAGTTCAAAACCTAATGCCGAAAATCGTTTGTTGGCATATCATCCTGAACTCACATCCCAGCAGCTAGCACACAGGGGGAAGAGAAAGGGTCTTGTATTAATAAAATTATTAATCTAAGGGAATCTAGCAAACCTTAAAGTAAAGCTTAATGAGTTTGCTATTTATTAATTTAATTGGCTACAAGCAGTTGTGTGTTGAGCTTTTTGCTCACAAATGTGTTTCTTCACTTAATTGTACTCACGTACTGGCTAAAATTCATCATTTTTGGTTAGGAGAGACAAGCAGGTGTTCCGATTCAGCAGCTGACAAGAACATGGCTGTTAAGTCATGCGTTTTGTAGGACATGGTTTTCTCATTTTATCCTCTTGCTTTGTGACACCATAATCAGTATTCTCTGGGTAACGGCTTTAATTGTAGTTTAGTAGGTTTCCTGCCTACAGAAAGAGTTACTAGGAAATATCTCAGAGGATAGATAAGCTTTTCTGTGGGAACTGGACGCTGAGGATTCTGTCATGGCATGTTTTAGGAAAATCTAGCAGCAAAATTGGCATCAGTTTTGACAGTATTTACGTTAAAATCCCATACAATTCTTTGAAATGCTTCTGCTAGCAGATAGATTACTAAGTAGTAGCATAACATAGGATTAAAGCTTTCATAATATAGGCTCATATGAAATGTTAAGAGCTTTACTAAGGCAAAACTTTCTGTAGAAGCTTTCACTGACTTATTTTTAAGACCGTAATGATATGTTAACTTCACCAACTGCATATAATGCAAGCTGTAGAAATTCACACCAGGAAACTCATTAGTCTGTGCAAATCATTTGTTTCTATGTCTGACCTTCCTATATAGTAAATAGGTTTATAATGACCTTAAGAGCATTTAGCCAAAGAGGCCAATAAAGGCTTGCTCTCTTGGCTCCTGATCAGAGCCCATTAAGACTGTTTAGTGCAGTAGGCAAAGCAGTCAGTGTATCGAGCAACCAAACTTCAGTCCAACGACATCTGAGGCAGTTGCCTGAACTATGCAGATCACTGCAGTGCAGGCAGTTTTAAAATCTGGGGAACCCAAGTCTGGAATAAGTTTCCAATGGTTGGAACAAATCTAGGTTATTAAGGGTAATGTGCCAGTTATCCAAATGTAAAGATCTTTGGGCTGATGTCACTGGAGAAATGACTCCTTTCTGGCAACAGTTAAGAATATGTGCATTTGGTGGTTTGTCTGCTTTAGAGATGCAATGAGTAGATCTGTCATTCATCTGTTTGAATCGAGTTGGCTTGTTCTACACTCACATCTATGTTTGAGATTAAAAAAGAAAAAAGAGAGCAATGTTTGCACTAACTAGCTCCAGTGGTATGTACTTCGCAAGCAGGACAAGAGGAGCACGTGAGAACTGCAAGGCATTATTATGTAGTGAATGCAACATTTACAGTGGCTGAATTTCTCTTCACACGGATCATGATACACAACTTTCAGTTGCCTTCAGGTGCTTTGGAAATGTGTGACTTGTAAGGGCAGGTGTTACCCCCACAAGTCATTGAGGTACTTCTAAGTTTATTGGTGGTGCTCAGGTCTCTGAGTGACCCTTGTCCAATGTAAAAGAGCTGAATAATGTCATCTTTTGCTCTAATAGGAGTAAAGTCAGTAAAAGAATGAAGGAGTTACAGGCATGTGGTCCAGCTGCGGGTCACGTGGCTAATAATGGGAATAAACACTGCTCTGTTTTTGTGAGCAGGAATGTCCATCTTATCAGAATGATCTTGCCATAAAGCACTTAGAATAAAATAAACACAAAAGTAAAGAAACCAGAGCCTCAGAACAAAACAAACAACTCTGCTTTCATAGGTATGCTCTGCTAGTATATGTTTATAAATGGGTTTCGCTCTGAATGTTCTCAATTTTTCTGAACTTTCTCTGATATTTTTGGACACATCTGTATTATAAATGCTGCAAAACAAACCTTTTAGTTCAAATAGAGTGGATTAAGCAGAAATTACAATGTTGGCTTTTTTTTTTTTCTTCATTTTCTTCCTATCTTTGAATAGATCAGAAGAAAAAAAAAAAAAGAATTGCATCCCTTCAAGATGCAGTGCCTTGTCTCATTTAGTCTTGCTGGGAAAGCGAGTGTTATCAGGCAGACGTGCTTTTACACAGAGTCAAAGCATATCCTGTATTGGAAGGGACCCATAAGGATCATCATCTCCAACTCCTGGCTCCACATAGAAACACCCAAAAATCAGACCATATGTCCTTAATAAAACAGCTACAATACTGCTGTGAGGCTTGCTGGGGCAAAACGATTCAAAATGGGCACTACAGCCTCATTGTTTTTAGTTACCTTTATGAATAAATTGCTAGAGAAGCTTTCTAAAAGCTCAATTTAGTGCAACTTTCAGCAATGTAGTGTTGACTGTTTCTATGAGAATAGAGGCATGGTGCCTCTCTTGCACAGAGCTTTGGTGTGGGCCCCCAGCAGCACAGCCCTCTGTGCCGGTACAAAGTCCTCCCTTCAGCTGAGCAAGGTTTTCATGGCAAAACCAGGCAAGCACCAACAGAGACACTTAGGAAATTCCTAGCAGCTAGTGATGACCACATCCAGAAAGATGAGCTGAACAGCTCGGAGTCAGCTGGCCAGTGGTATGTCTCAGGGGTCTGGGTTGGGACCGATGCAGTTCGACATCTTTTTTAATGACATAGACAGTGGGATCAAAGGCACCATCAGGAATTTTGCGGATGCCACCACACTGCAGTGCGGTCATGAGAGAAGAAAGGAACACCATCCAGAGGAACCTGAACAGACGACAGGTAGGCCCGTCCAGCCTCATGAAGCTCAATAAGTCCACCCACAGGTTGCTGCATCTGAGCTGGGGTAATCCCAGGGATTTGGGATTTCTGGTGGATGAGAAATTGGACATAAGTCAGCATACACACTTGCATCCCAGAAAGTCAACTATGTCCTGGGTTTCTTCAAAAGAAGTGTGGCCAGTCATGAGAGGGAGGTGCTTCTCACTGTCCTGCTCCACCTCTGCATACACCATCTGGAGCACTGCAGGCAGCTCTGGGACCCCCAGAACAAGAAAGATGTGGAAATGTTGGAGTGAGTCCAGAGGAAGCCATGAGGATGCTCAGAGGGCTGGATCACTCTCCTATTAAGAAAGGCTAATGGAACTGGAGTATTCAGCCTCTAGAAGAGAAGGCTCTGGGGAGAACCCTCTGCAGCCTTTCAATATTTAAGAGGAGCCTATAAGAAAGATGGACTTTCAACTATTGATGGCGGAAGGGATAATGGTTTAAAAGAGGGAAGATTTAGGTTAGATGTTAGGTGAAAATTCTTTACTCAGGGTGGTGAGGCACTGGCACTGCTGTCCCAAGAATCTCTGGGTGCCCCATCCCTGGAGGTGCTCAACGATGTGGCCCTGGGCAGCCTGATCTAGTGGGGAGAAGGCCTGCCCATGGCACAGGGGTGGGACTGGTGATGTTTCACACCCCTTCCAAATCACATTGTTCTATGATTCTATTATTCTATGGTAAGATGAGCCATTCGGGTATACTGATGCGTTCTGAAGGGTGGGATTGTGTTTACATCTGCCATGTGGTAAGAGATCTGGGTTTCTTGCACATTTTTATTTATTTATTTATTTTTTATTTTTTTAATATGAATGCCCACATTGGCAGTTGCTTAATAGTCTGATGAAGGTCTACTTTTTTTTTCCATGTATTCCAGCTGCCTAAAGGGCACCGTTCAATTATCGGACCCTTCAGTTCAAACTCCTGACCATACTGGAAGAGGAGGGACGTTCATGTGGAAACCATCAGCCTTAGCTCCGCCACGGAGTGGCTGCGCATGCAGGGTGACGGCTGGGCAGAGCTAAGGGGGAAAGTTACGAGAGCACCGCGGGCCGCAACGTAGCAGTGCAGACGCCGGACTGCTCCGACGAGGCACCGAGGCGCGGCCTCACCTCCAGCTCTCCCTCCCTTGCTTTCTGAGGGCCGCCAGGGGGCGCCGGAGGGCGGCTCTCCGCGGGGTGAGCGGGGCCGAACCGCCCTCCAGCCGCCCGCCCCGCCGCAGGCAGCTCAGCGCTGCACCGCTCCGCTCCGGCGTTGCTCCCGGCAGAGGCGAGCCGCACAGGGGATGAGGATGCCGCGCCGGCAGCCGCCGCGCCCGCTGCTCCTCCTGTCAGCCCTGCTCTGCGCGCCGGCGTCGGCCTTCAACCTGGACGAGGAGAAGCTGACGGTGTACAGCGGGCCGCCCGGCAGCTACTTCGGGTACTCGGTGGACTTCTACATCCCCGACCCCAGCACGTGAGTGCCGGTGCTGGCGGCGGGCGGGCTGCGGGGGCGAGTCACGGGGCGGGGGCGGCGGGGTGACAGCCCCCGGCCCCGCGTCGGCGCCGAGCCCCCCGCTCCGCCGGTGACTCGCGAGCGTGCTCCGCAGGGTCAGCGTCCTGGTGGGAGCTCCGCGAGCCAACACCACGCAGCCGGACATCGTGGAAGGAGGAGCGGTGTACCACTGCGGCTGGCCGGCCGCGCGCTGCAGGCAGATCCCCTTCGATAACACCAGTAAGTGCTCTGCGGGGCTGGGGGCGGGCATCGCGCGGCCGCTCGGACCGCTGCTCGCGTAGGCAGCGCGTGGCTGGGACGGATGGAGCGATCCGGGAGCCGCTGCTTGCTCAGCTCCTCGCGGACAGCGAGGGTTCTCCTCTAGAGCAGCTCGGGCTGGATGCAGGCTCGGTGTGGGTAGATCGTAGCCACTTCCAGAATCCCAAGACAGATGTTTCCTATTTAATTAGGGAGAACACACGTTTTAAGCAAGTCAGGCTGTTTATGTTTTCTGTTGTCTCTTTATAGGTCTTGAAAGTAATTTAAGCTGAGTGTTCCCAGGGACGTAAAAATGGATTGGTTTCATTTAGGCAAAGTTTGACAGTTTAGCTGTTAAACAAAAGTTATGATTCTTTAGGTTATATTTAATCTTAGCGTTTATGGTGCACTTAAATGTAAACACAATACACTTCAGCCTTTTTCTAAGAGCACAAATTAAATTAGAAGAGCTTAAGTGCAGCAAGTAAATACTGTCCTTCACCCGTTTTACCCCCAGCCAGCCACACGTCCCAGGGCTGTGTTTGTCACTACACCCCCCACTCAGGACTCCCCTCACGTCTGGACATTCTTCCAAACACACCCCGGGCTCCTGCTCTGGATGCGGTATTAGATGTGCATGTGGCTACTTGGGTGTGTAATATGATGTAGGTCATAACTCATGAGTAAATGGGAATGCATGGACATAGAATGCCTTCCATATCTTTATTGTAATATTAATAAAATTAGTAGAGCAAATATTCCTTTCTTTCCATCTAATGGGTAGATAGTTCATGCACCAGAAGATGAATATGTTATCTACACAAATTACTCATTTGAATAGGAAACTGTCAGAACAAGTGAAAATCCCATTGCTTTTTAAAGGGGAGTTTTGAAAAATGAATGAAAATCTGGTGATGAAAAGCAGAATGACATCTGGCTTTCCTGTGGGAAACTCCAGAAAAGTTCACCGAAGAGGCTTCTGGCAACTCCATACTCTTATTTGCAGATGTTGTGTTTGAATAGAGACACTAGCAGTTTGAGTTAGCATCTCAGAATCATAGAATGGTTAGAGTAAAGGACCCTTAAAGGTCATCTAGCCCAGCTCCCCAGGAAGAGCCACATGGCTTTGTGCTGTACCACATGATTGTCCAGAGAGGGCAGAGAGCTCAGCATCTCCAAAGCATTGTTTCCTCAGGCTACCTGAGGCATTTTGTATCTCTGGATGGGCACCTGACTTTTTCATCTTCCTCAGTGCCTTAACCAGAAGACAATCCTTTCTGCCAAAGCGACAACTGCAACTAATTGTTAAAAGACTGAGCGTTCAGCTCTAGGTCTTTAACTTCACGGATGAGTGCTTCAAGCCTCATAGTCTTGAAAGGGTGTGGTGAAGGTTTCCTGAAACAGGAAATGTACATAGGATGCTTCAAGGCTGGAAAGTCTCATTCTGATGTATTTTTTTACAAAGTTTCCTTGTTTAAGTACTGTTTTCTTGAATCTAACCAAACGGTGTCAGCTCTTTCAGTTAGATTCACCAGGCATAGCAAAAGAAATAAAACTGAATCACTGACAGCATTTTTAATTAACATCAGAAGTAAAACTTGAGGGGAGCTGGAAAGAAAGGGCGAGTGTAATGTAACACTTAAAAAACAGCACAAGCTATTAAAAAAAAAAACACTATTAAATCAGTACTGTTCACCACAAGAGTTCAATAGAGGACTTCTAAGGAATTTGTTAAAGAAAAGTAGGTTTGTGCAATCTATAGCCCGATGTAGATGCATGACATTTCTGCAGTCACCGAAACTGAAATTTCTACTATAACCAAAAAATTCAAGAGATCAACAAATGTAGATGATTGAAAACCACTAACTTAATATCACAACTCAAATATGAGCATGAAGGTTTTTGATGTCTTCTATGTCTGAGGACTGGACACACAAATGTAGGAGAGCTCTGCAAAGTTATGCTCACCCAGTGAGGGAGCATACAATGCGCTTGGGTGATATTTGGACTTTTTCCTGCCAACCGCAACCATCAGACTTCAGAAACAGGAATGTTCATTGGATGAATGAGGACACTTCTACCAAAAATGTAGTAGTCTTTTTGATTGCATCAGGGCTGGAAATCACAAGCAGAGCATCTCTGCTGCCGACTGCAGGTGCTGGAGTGTGCAGTCATTGCAAGTCATCCTGTGATGTCATAGGGCCAATGTCTGGCTGATGGAAACAGGTCTGTAAGTGGGCACCTAACTAATGAATCTCTTATGTAACTGTACGGATTATTTCACAGTTTCCAGAAGGAAAGTGGACCTAATTTAAAGGTTTCCATCATTTGCAAATGTGTTGATATTGTTTGTCCTAGAGCTATCAATATCCTGTTCCTTCTAAATTTAAGAAGTGATGGCAGTGACTAATTTTCTGCAGTGACTTCAGTTGAGTTTCCAGCCACTTCCTAATATCAAGGCAATACAGGTGTGGGGTTGCTTTGTACTAATTTATATTTCCCCCCTTTTTTTTTTACTGATACCAAGATGTTTATCGAATGAATGTATATATCACTTTAGACAGAGGAAAGATTTTTTCTTTCAGAGAGTGATTTGAAGGAACTGAGTGCTTCATAGACACCTTTGTGGAAAACTGAGGCTACCTATGTTAATACTAGGATGGTAAGCACTGAGACAAGATGGGTTCTGTAGTCTGTAATGTTTCAACTTTACTTTCTTCTGAATAATATCTTCCTCTTTTGAAGATAATTACAAGTTTTACTTTAAAGAAAGCTATTTTTTATCTTCTGTACCATGGAGCCCTGAAGGGAGAATAGAGGTGTGAAGCACCACTGGACCTGCCATCCCAACACTGGTGTAAGACAACTTCAGGTTTTCCCCGTGGAGCAGAGATCTGACACTGCAGGAGCTGCACTCAGTCACTGGCAAGGTGCCTCCAGTCTCACTGTCACCACTCTGGAGACTAAACTTTATGTTTTGTCTCCTTTAGACCTTAAACAAGAAGAGACAAATCTCTGTGGCTTGTGAAGTTCTCTCACCCTTTTCATCTCAGAAACTAAGACTGCATGAGGAATTAGGCATTGTGTTGGATGCTAATGTATACCTAACAGGAACACACAATATTTAGTCGATTACCCATGAAGGGTATGCAAACACTTTTAACACTTTGTCTTTACTTCGTAGTGCTGTGTTCTAGCAGTCAAACACAAACAAGGTTCCCTACTGCTAGCACTGATACTCAAGACTGTTCCTGAAATCATCTCTGTGGCACCATTGGTATGGTAGGATGCATAAGCTGGTCTGAGTGCTAGGAGCAGCTGCTTGTGCTAATATGGATGTGTTTGTGGACTAAACTACTCTGATGAGAAGATGGCAGACTTAGCAGAGGTTCAGGACCATCTGCAGCTCGTGCCTGAACTGATATTGTTCTACTGGGAATTCTCCCAGAATGTCACTGATCTCCTCAGGTCACTGTATTTGTTCTTCAGAGTATTCAGTCCAGACATTTCCAAAGCACTGAGGGTATCTACTTGCAAATTTACGTCAGTAGTTAGTCCTCTTGATGTAATAGATTGTTTCTGCCAGGGGGCAGAGGAAGAAGGAAGACAAAATTTTGACATGCATTGGGAATTGAGTCCATCCATCCATATGCAAGTCATGTAGCAGGGCATTGCCTATGAGTGGACCAGTGATGTGGCCTGCAGCCAAGAAGGGGCTTTAACAGAAACTGTGTTTCTTCTGCTAATGCAGCACTGACTCTCTGACTCTCCCCAAAGCTCCCAAAACCTCGGTGCTGGAGCCAAGGCTGGGAGGAAGCTGAAAGCACTGCGCCTTACAACACAGCTGGTACTTTAACCAATTTCTTTGCAGCAAGGGACTGATGTAAAGTATAATGGAATAGCTTTTAATATTCCCTTACTCCAGGAAATATGGACTGAAGGGCAGGGACTCTTCCTTGTTTCTCTGCTCCATAAAACTGTCCTACTACACTGCAGTGGAAGGCAGAGATACTCTTTGAAACTTGATGAGAAGACAGGGCAACAAGCATCGGGATTATAATGAGGAGATATGATCTGGACTTCCTCTCTTATCTACATGGAACTAACTTCTGCTTTTCAGTTTCACCGTTATGAAAAGAGTTTTACCATGACCATTTCTGCTTAGCGCTGAGGTGCAACTCTGATAGTCCTCGTGTTTAATGTGGATGTTTTTCCTTAAGGCTGCCAGAAGAGGTAGCAGGAGAGCAATACGGAAAAAGCTCTCCCTGTTTGATTAACTGGGGAACTTCTAAAGTACTCAAAGCATCTTGCAGCCAGGAGCAAACTTTAATGCCTCCTGAAGTACACTGTTGCGTTTGAGAGCTGTTAAAAAATTCATACTTCATATTTCAGGAACTCATTTTAATGGTTGTTTTTAATGGTAGTACTAAACAAACTGGAACAAGTACTCATGTTTTAAATTAGCTCCAAGGGCAGAATTTTAAACACTTGCCATAAGTCTCCAGGGCTCACTATAGTGCTGCATTTGCTGTCAGTCATCTTCACCAGTTTTAGAAAAATAAGTTATATTTTCTAAACTAACAGGAGAGAATTTGGACAGACTCTGAAGAAGAACAGGTAAGGGGAATGTAGGTCAGTCACAGCCAAATGTGCAGTTGATTAAAATCATGAGCTAATTTGGCCAGCAGTTGAGCTGATGGTAACAGAACCCAGGTACTTTGTAAGGAAAGGATGTATTGTGAGACTCAAGAGATTTAGTTACATGAGGAAATCATTGGCTGTAAAGTTGGTAAGATTCTGAGGAGAAGTTAGAATCCTGTTGTAAAAGAAACTTTACATCTCAAGAGAAAATGCTGAGGGAGAATTTTGTTGCACTTCTAAATGCTGACACATTTCAGTGGATATGCCAGAAAGACCTTATCTGGAGCCTCATGGTTGACTTGTAGCATTCTGATTTATAATGGACCCTTGTCAGTTTATTC